GCAATAATGTTTACAACGGTCAGGAAAGACCAAAAGACAAGATTAGCTTACGATTGTTCTCTTTGATCTGTTGGAATCATTGTACTGGCCGACAACCTTACCACCTTACTTAGAATGTTGACATGAAGACAAAAATAATATGGCCTTTCTTTGGTCACATCAACTTCATCCTTTTAACTAAGATATATTTAGAAAATGTTATCATATTCTAAAGCGAATACTATTTATAATAAAAAATTAGATTATCACTATAATTTCAAGTTGAATATTTTTTTGAAATTTTGAGTAGATCTGATATATATACATATATATATATATAAAGCCTGATCAGTGCAAAATATACTTGAAGTAGGCAGGTTTTGTAAGCCGGTAAATATGCCATAGAGGAGGGAGTGAAAGGGGCATCAAACAAAGGAATTATTTATATTTAATGATAAGCTATTTCTAAAAAATAGTATATTTTTAGAATAAAGTTTGATGCATTACTTTGTATATTATGTTTTATCAATCAATGTTGCAGTTGGTTTATTATTATGAGCTAGTTCAAGCTTTTTAAAACTAGCGTCTTTAGCTTATACAAAGGCTTATTTCATATTTTTCACGAAATTCGCAGTCAATTATCTGAAAATCTTACTATCATGCTTAATATGTGTACCTATTTTCTGATGTATTATCAAGTCTTATAACATTTTTATCTTCCGTCTAGGGATTTTCGGAGATAGTGGAATGCGAGGAGATCCCGGTGATGATGGTCTTCCTGGCATTCCATCCTCTGGTGCCAAGGGTGAAAAAGGCCATCCTGGCTCTCCTGGTGACGCTGGTTTGAAGGGGCACATCGGTCAGCCAGGCCAGCGGGGCTTTCGTGGTGAGCCAGGCCTGCCAGGATCGTCAACAGATGGCGTAAAGGGAGACAAAGGAGATATAGGCGAAAAGGGAACTCAGGGTCCAATGGGAAAAATAGGACCCCAGGGACTGAAGGGTTTACAGGGGGAGGCAGGTGCTGATGGATTACCGGTAGGTCTATTTCAATATATAAGTGCTATGTGAATTATATATTTAAACGTTATATAGTAAATAAATTTAAATGCATATATATTAAAAGTTCATATTTTTTATCAATTGATAATTTAGGTATTTTAAATAAAGTAGTATGGAGATTCCTTTTGCTTTCATTAATCCCTCTTCCAAAATATAATGTTTAAAAAAAATCAAGTGAATTAAAGTAATAGTGGTAAAATTTCAATTGAGGAGTATTTTGGTCATGAATGCATAATTGTATAAGGACCACATAACCATAATAGTTTTAAACACCTTCAGGGTACAAAAGGTGCTCAGGGTGATCAAGGCCCTCCCGGACGCGATGGGTCTCCAGGTAAAAGAGGTCCACCCGGCCCAGTTGGTCCTCAAGGCCCTATCGGTATCAAGGGCCGTACTGGCAGTCAGGGAGAACCAGGGGACCCTGTTCCCGCCATATGGGGACCTAAGGGTGAAACCGGTGATAATGGCGAGCGTGGAGACATCGGACCGACTGGAAGTAAAGGAAATCGTGGACCACCAGGTATATAAGACTTTCTGCTGTAATATCCTAATATTAAAATAGCCTTTAGAAGTCATTAAAATTAGTCCAACATTTGTAAGCAATGCTAGACGATTCTCTTAATTATAAACGGAACCAAAGAAAATTAAATTATGAGGATGCATTTTAGCGCTTTTCTTCAACTTGTTTTTAAATTAAAGTTTACTCAAAGCATACGCATATTGCACAAGCCAGCAATGATTGAATAGAAAGTAATGAGGGTTGCGAGAACCCATAATCTAAGACGAGTAAAAAAATCAAATATGCAAATAAAGACTTACTTAATTTTTGGAAGATGAAAGTAGGTCCTGCTTTTCCGGAAGCACTAATTTTATTATAAGCCTGTATATGATGGCTGTTCTGGGCGAGATTTTCTTACTAAATCCATGCTTTTAATTGGATAACTATTTTGATTTGTTTATGCTTACTCGAATCAAGAAAAAAACAGAAATTTCATAAAATTGCTTTGTCATGAAATCAAGCACCTAATATCTGGGATATTAAGCCAATTATTCTCCCTGTGCCAAGGATGGATATAGTATCATTTATGACCTGAATCAACCCAAATTATGTATGCTTGGTCAATGGTAATCCCCAACCTTACATCTATATGGACACTGGGTAGCATAACAAAAAGCAATGGGGAAAATAAGTTCTCCTTTATAAGTACTATACATGCCCATTAATTTTCTGATGAGTTTCAATTTATGTCGGTCACTGAACAAGTTAGTGATAGGTGGT